TGACAAAGATCAGACTGTCGTCAGCGAAAAGCAAGTGTGACACCCACAGCGATCTGTAGCTCACTCTTATGCCTCTGTCGATGTACCCATTATTGTAAAACTTCAGCAAAGAGGAGAAACCCTCCGCACAAAGCAGAAAAAGGAAAGGTGACGCTGGGTCTCCTTGTCTCAGCCCTCGCGAGGGTGTGAAGAAGGGCAACCGCTCACCATTCACCCTGACCGAGAAGCGTATCGAGGATACGCATTTCATAATCAACCGGACAAAGACCATGTTGAAGCCCAACTTTGTGAGAATGGCCTCAAGAAAATGCCACTCGACACGATCGTAGGCTTTCATCATGTCCAGTTTAATTGCACAAGCGTAGTTCTTCCCTTTCTTCCGCCTTCTCATTGTGTGCACACTTTCATATGCAACTAGAACATTGTCAGTTATAAGTTGTCCTGGGACAAACGCGCTTTGCTCTTCACTGATTATCTCATCCATATAAGCTCTCATTCGGTTTGTCACACATTTGGATGCAATCTTATATAGCACCGAACAAAGTGCAATGGGTCTATATTGTGAAATAAACTGGGGGTGTCGTACCTTGGGGATCAAAGTGGTGGAAGTGTCGTTCAAGCCCACTGGTAATTCTCCTCCATTCAGAAAATCCAACACTGCCGCAGTTACTACCTCACCTAATAAGCTCCAGTGACGCTGATAAAACCCCGCAATAAAGCCATCTACCCCCGGTGCTTTGGATGGAGCCATAAGAAACAAAGTTGTCCTGACTTCCGCCGCCATGTAGGGTTTTGTTAATTCCACGTTCATGTCTTCTATGACCTTAACTGGAACGTGACTGAGCAGCTCGGTTGAATTCATAAACCCTTGGGATTCATACAAATTTTGATAGAACGTCTAAACCTCGCTCTTATCTTCCTCTTCATTTGCGCAAACCGAGCCATCCGCACGACATAAACCTTGTATTATGTTAATATGTTTTCTTTGTGCCGCCTGAGCTTGAAAATATGCAGTGCTGCGATTGCCGTCTCTCAGCCAGGGCACATGGGACCTCTGCCATAGCCAGATCTCCTCCTGGTGGAGGGCCTTGCGCAGCTGTCGTGCCACTGTTTTTTCCTCCTCAGTTGGCCCTCGACCCACCGAACGACTCCGTAAATTATCGAGTCTTTTCTGCAACTGTCTGACTCGGTGAGTTAAGCAGCCAAACTCACGAGTCCCCCACGGTTCAAGTGTTGCCTTGAGATGATTCAGTGAGTCCGCGATACCTTGGAGGCCCGGTCCTCTATTTGCCTCTCGCCACGCAGCAGTAACAATACGGTCATAGTCCACATGCCATGACCACACATTCTCATATCTGAATTGTCTTTTTGCTCGTGATGTGTTCATAAGCTTCTCCTTTATCTCCGCTAGAACAAAACAATGATCAGATTCAACATAAGGTATATGTCTAATTCTGATGTATTGAAAATGTTGCCGGAACTCTTCATTGGCAAAACTCTATCCAGCCTTGCTTTGACATTTGCGTCCCCCGCCTGCCGATTATCCCAGGTATACGTTGTGCCTGACCACCCCAAATCTTGGAGGGCCACTTCATCAGTGACTTCTCTGAAAGCTCTCATTTGCCTCTCTGGCCTAGCTGCCCGACTAAAGTGTTCATTCGCGTAGAGAGTTTCATTAAAATCACCCAAACAAATCCAGGCCACATTCAGCATGGAATGTAAAGTACGTAGGAAATGCCAACTTTGATGTCTATCCTCTGCTCGGGGCGCTCCATAAAAACCAGTGAACCTCCATTGAAAGGAGTTTTGATCTTTGTATTTAACAAAAGCATCAATGTGTCCAGAACTATAATTTTTAAGCTCGACAATAACATCATGTGACCAAAAAAGCCCAATGCCACCACTTAGGCCTACAGTATCCACTGCAAAGCACCCGCCGAAGCCTATATGTCTTTGCCAGTCCTCAACTCTCTTCCCTTTAATTTTTGTTTTCATGACGAAGAGAAGAGTGGGTCCTAGCTTCACAATGTTGTGAAGCTCTCAAACCGCCTCAGGGTTCCCAAGCCCCCAGCAGTTCCATGACAGGCAACTCATTGGGCTGGGGAGGACTGATCACCGGTCTCTGCCGAGTTGTCAGGTGTAGGCCTCGTCTTCTTTGGTTCTCGAACCAGGTCCTCATCATCTTCTCCGCCCGCAGCGCTCGTACTCGGATCATGATCTTCAGGGTTTTGTGCTGCCGTGAGAAGCAACTGCTTTGGTTTATATACTGCGGCCGGTCCCTCCTTTCTCTTGTAACGAGTGTTATCTCTGGTTTTTAAAGGC